ATTCATACGAATCTACCCTAAAAATGTTGTCGGCATTAAATAACCCATTGAGGTTGATATGCCGTAAAACAAAATAAAATATTCTTAAAAGAGTGCTCAACACGGAGTAGAGCAAACATAACCATTTATTCAAAATTATAACATAAATATGTTATAAAATCACTACAAAAATAGCCATTTTGTTTCAACACTTCTGATGTCTTATCAAGGGATGATATATATATATATATATGTGTGTGTGTGTGTGTGTGTGTGTGTGTGTGTGTGTGTGTGTGTGTGTGTGGTATTTAGCAGGGATGTGCTCAATATCCGTGCTAGAGCTAACATGGATAGTAGCTTGCAATCCCGGGTTTCACGCTTTTGCGATCATCAAACTGGTTCATTTTTTTTTTCAAAAATGGATCTATTTATACATTATTTGTGTTTGGTTATTTGTGTGTGGTGGTGGTGGTGGGTGGATATGAATATGGGTGCGTATGTTTTTTTTTTTTTTGTTTTTTTTTTAAGCATTTCACCCCAAGCAAGGCGGGAAGCCACTAGGACGAAAGGGGTTACAGAAAGTTTAGAGCAAGATCAGATAGGTGTGATAGAAGAAAGGATGAGGGTAGTGGATAGATCAAGGCAACTGGAGATGTCGATTGACATTACACTTGAATAGCTGGAGATTATAGCTCACAGGGAAACAGGAAAAGGGAAGGGAGTTCCACAGGCGAGAGGTGCGAGACATGAAGCTATTAGAGTAGAAGAGATGGCTACATTTAGGAGTTTCGACAGTACGAACTAATATGTGTACGCCTGTATGTATGTGTCTCTGTGTATGTGAGACTGTCATCCGCAACAAACAGAGAAGAAGATCCCCCCTCCAATAACACACAAATAATCAAACACAATTAAAGCATAAATAGATTCAATTTTGAAAAAAATGAACGAGTTTGTTTGAAAATTGGGAATGCGTGTAACCCAGGTTTACAAACTACTATCTATGCAACCGCGCAAAGATATATATATATATATATAAAAATATATATATATATATATAAAAATATATATATATATATATATATATATATATATATAAAAGGAAAAATCTATCTATTGACACATATCTATAAAACAATATATATATAGGGAAATAAATAAACGCCGAGAACAGTAAGATCGGAAGATTGTATTGCGCCAAAGTTCATAGTGCAAATTGCTTCTGTTTCCAGTAGAGAATGCTTCTGCTTTCCCGAGCTAGAATTCGTAATTGACACTAATGGAAAATACGCAAATGCAAACGCAAGTAGATTCTCCTATACATATATATCTTATAAGAGAGTTTAGAAAGACTGTACAGCCCCAATCTTCTCTGTCAGGAAGGCCTGGCAGCCTTGAAAAGTTCTATTCAGAACAGAAAAATATGTATTCCGATGTAAGGAAAAAAAGATTGCATCATTCTTCCTAATATTTTAAACAATTTTAATGAGCCCTCAAATTGACGCACACGGTTTTATATATATATATATATATATATATATATATATATATATATATATATATATATATATATATCAGGAGAATATTTTGTGTCTACCGATAGCCCTGCATGTGATATATTAATTGGTATTTATATTCTAAAACTGCAGGACTTTAAAAAAGCGGAAATGGGAAAAAAACTGAAAGCACTAGAGAAGACAACGGAAAAACACTCCACTACATTTCACAAGAATTAATGGCAATTGACAAATAATGAAGAAAAGGATGCTGTGGAGAGCCATGATCGCCTATGTGGTTTAACAATCTGTCCTTCGTAGAGTCATAGTGTAAGCGCAATAAAGTTTTAGAATAAAGTAAGTTTTGAGAGGCAAAACTCTATTTATCTTTTTTTAGCGCACGCGTGTCCTGGGTGTGATGATAAACTACATCCGCGTCCTGGGTAAGACGATAAACTACATCCGTGTCCTGGGTATGATGATAAACTACATCCGCGTCCTGGGTAAGACGATAAACTACGTCCAACAGCAAAGCCTCTGATCTGCAGGTTTTGAGGAGCGTGAAACCACTTCTTAATTGCTGGTGTTCCTAGGTCCACCCTGACCTGGGGTGGTAACACCTGTTAGGGTCCCAGCTATGGGCAAATAGTTGCCCCCCCCCCCAGACTGGGGACAAAACACTATGAAAGTGTCAAAATAGGGTTTAATACCAGCAATACATTTTTGCAAAAAGTTATTTATCAGCAATGCGAGCACACATCGGGACGGAGTAATGGTTAGCAAGCTTGTCTCGCTAGAACAATTACAACTGAGTAATGAGTTCGATCCTCACGGACAGTCAAATATGGCAACCGTGCCCCCTACTTTAGGCCTTGTGCCACATCTAAAAAACTTGGAGAATCACTATTTACCGGCAATACATTTTTTGAAAAAAAAATATTAGCGGCAATACATTTTTGAAAAAAATATTACCAGTAATAAAATCTTATCGGTATTAAATAACCCATTGAAGTTGATATGCCGTAAAACAAAATAAACCAAATCAATCTAAACCAAAGAATACATATTCTATTCATACGAATCTATCCTAAAAATGTTGTCGGCATTAAATAACCTATTGAGGTTGATATGCCGTAAAACAAAATAAACCATTCTTAAAAGAGTGCTCAATACAGAGTAGAGCAAATATAATTATTTATTCGAAAATTATAACATAAAATGATATAAAATCACTACAAAAATAGCCATTTTGGTTCAACACTTTTGGTGACTTATCAAGTGTAGAACTTTTGGTGACTTATCAAATGTAGAAATCATCACTTGATAAGACACCAGAAGTGTTGAACCGAAATGGCTATTTTTGTAGTGATTTTATAACATTTTTATATTATAATTTTCTAATAAATTATCATATATATATATATATATATATATATATATATAATTATTTATTTAAAATATGATTCCTACACGCTACATAAGAGTTCTCATGTTTCAAAACAAGAAGCGAAAACTTCAATATAATTATTTGAATTATATATATATATATATATATATATATATATATATATATATATATATATATATATCGGCGTAGATATTTACAAATGATCTGAGTCTATTCCTAGACAGGTCATTTATGCAAATGAGAAACAGGGTTGCTCCGAGAAGTAACCCCTGGTGTACACCTGCGTTGACTCCCAGGGTCTTGAGGGACTGGCTGTTAAAAATTACTGCTAGGTAGAATTTTCTACTGAAAGGGGCACAGGAAGCACAATGACTCTGTTGGATAGGACGAGTTTTCAGCTACAAAACACGTTTGCCACGCATAAAAGCCCTTACTACGGCCTGTATGTCCAGTTTGAAAGAATTCACGCCATCAGCGATGAATATCTGTAACTGTGCTCTCATCCACTGATTGGTCTCTTGAATGTCAAATGACATTGCCAGGCAGACACTCAGCTGCTATGTGTAACACGGCTAAAAAAAAAAAATCAGAAATAGGTCATTGGCGGGAAGCCATTCTGCACTGTCTTACAACTAATATTCACCTGTGAAGTCGCGAGACGACACAAGACAATGTTACATTGCAATCGAGGCCACACTGGCGTGTGTGAATATGATTATATGTTTGTGTGTGTGTATCAGTGTGGATGTGTGTGTGCGTACGTGTGTGCGTACGTGTGTGCGTGTATGCGTGTATGTGTGTGACACAGAGAGAGAAAGAGACAGACAGACGTTGGTTTTTGACACTTTTATGGCATTCCGATGAAACCTGCTAACGGCAATGAATGTCTGGCTTTTAATTGCAGGCGTTCAGAATTATTTGGCCGATCAATATGCACTGATCTTCCACAATGTACGTCTGTCTGTCTGCTCTTGTTCATTTTTTTTTTATCGACAGGCACGTCTTATTCTCACTGTCGCTTTTTATCTATCTTAATCTTTTCATATCTATCTATCTATCTATCTATCTATCTATCTATCTATCTATCTCAGTCTGTTCATATCTATCGATCTATATATCTATCTCAGTCTGTTCATTATCTATCTATCTATCTATCTATATATATATATATATATATATATATATATATATATATATCTCAGTCTGTTCATATCTATCTATCTATCTATCTATCTATCTATCTATCTATCTATCTCAGTCTGTTCATATCTATCTATCTATATATCTATCTCAGTCTGTTCATTTCATCTATCTATCTATCTCTATCTATCTATCTATATATATATATATATATATATATATATATATATATATATATATATACCAGTCTGTTCATATCTATCTATCTATCTATCTATCTATCTATCTATCTATCTATCTATCTATCTATCTCAGTCTGTTCATATCTTCTATCTATCTATCTATCTATCTATCTATCTATCTCAGTCTGTTCATTATCTATCTATCTATCTATCTATCTATCTATCTATATATATATATATATATATATATATATATATATCAGTCTGTTCATTATCTATCTATCTATCTATCTATATATATATATATATATATATATATATATATATATATATCTGTTCATATTCATCTATCTATCATTCATTATCTATCTATCTATCTATCTCAGTCTGTTCATATCTATCTATCTATCATTCTATCTATCTATCTATCTATCTATCTCAGTCTGTTCATTATCTATCTATCTATCTATATATATATATATATATATATATATATATATATATATATATATATATATCAGTCTGTTCATATCTATCTATCTATCTGTCTATCTCAATCTGTTCATTATCTATCTCAGTCTGTTCATATCTTCATCTATCTATCTATCTATCTATCTATCTATCTATCTATCTATCTCAGTCTGTTCATATTCATCTATCTATCTATCTATTCATCTATTCATTCATCTATCATTCTATCGATCTATCGATCTATCTCAGTCTGTACATATCTATATGTCTCAGTCTGTTAATTTACACACTCCCCAATTACATGCATATATATATATATATATATATATATATATATATATATATATATATATATAATATCTGCCACTATATATATATATATATATATATATATATATATATATATATATATATATATAGTTGCCCACTATATATATATATATATATATATATATATAATTATAGCTCCACTCATATCCGAGGATACCCGTCTACTAGGGCGACTAGCCAATCCCTATTGCAGATATTCACACAAGCACATTTGTGTTTGCTCAACATGGATCATACTGCAACTATGCTGAGCAGACCTTTTTTTCTCTGATAGAGCGTGTTATCTAGTGGGATCAACAATCTGCACAAGGCCAGCACACATAAACCCTCGGTCACGATGACTTGTGACTTCGTGCTAGCATAGCTATCGACGACCCCCATGGGTTCCGTCTATCCACTTTCACTCACAAGGCTTGGTGCAACCCATGGTATGGTTTTCAGGTACTTTCCAAAAGGTGCCGCACAATGGGATCATCTCCCCCTCCAGACCTATAACATTAGTAAGTCTACTTCCTGACAAATCAACCGTGGTGAAATTCGAACCCGGGTGTCATGATCAAAACAAGAGCCGAAAACTTCAATATAATTTTTTGAATTAAATTGAATTAAAGTACTAAGCTCTGTTCCATCTTCAAGCGAAATTTTTTTGGGAATCATTCCAAACAAATTTCGCGTGAAGATGGAACAGAGCTTGGTACTTTAATTCAATTTAATTCAAATAATTATATTGAAGTTTTCGGCTCTTGTTTTGAAACATGAGACCTCTTATGTAGCGTGTTGGAATCATATTTTCAAATAAATAAATAATTACATATATATATATATATATATATATATATAAAACGTATACCTACTACTACTACATTACGTTCGAGCCACAATAATATAGTTATTCTCAAAATTAAACATGTTGAAGGTTATGCTCCATAAAATAACAACTTCTTTTATATTTAGACATCGTAGAAAATGTGTTCTTTATTTAAACAAATAGAATTATTTATTTTAATGTAACGCATTTGTCTGTCAAATAAAGTCACTATAGCTTAAAAATAGACTTTTAAAAAACCAGTTCAAATCTAATGGAAGAAAAGAGTTACGTCATCAATGCGAGCTGGAACCTGAATTGGCTTCCATAGAAATGGTGGTCAGGTTGAAAATGATGTCCTATTAAACAATGGAATATGGAGAAAATGCATTCTTGAAATAAAACCGATTATTTCGCAAATGTAATGCCTGTTAAATCAATCTATTCGAGTTTGCCAAATAAAAAAGCCGGAACAATTAAATTATTTTCTTGAATTTTTTTCCCAATCCCTCCTTCGTGTTGCGTTGCAGCTCGTCAACAGGGTGTAGCTTCTTCCAGTCAAATGCTTGAACAGCTTTTTCCCGTAAATCACAGTCCTGTGGAACCCACTCCCAAGAGGATGTTTCCGCGATCACTACAATCTTAACCCGTTCAAGTCTAGAGTAAATCGTTATTTTCCCCTCCTATCCATATAACTACTCCTTAATGTAAGCCTCTACCTTGAGTGGCTCCCAGGTCTTGTACAGGGTGAATCTTACTGTAAAAAAATGTAAATAGGGTAAATCGACGTATTGAGATGTCCAAAGACGCATTCCAAAACTAGACAGAGTGTTGCGAGACAGGAGGATTTCTTTGGTAACAAAGAAAAAAGTACTCAGCTGCTACGTGACATATGTCCTCGATTACGGCAGCGAATGTTGAACGGTCTCCTTAAAGATGAAGAAGAGACTAGAGGCAACAGAGGTACGGTTCTACAGAAGGATGATAAGGATGTTGTTCATGATGACGGTCGTCTTCGAGTATAGAATCCAGAGGTTAGCAGTGAATATTTCGAAGACAGTAGGGAAGCGTTGTTTAGGTTAGCAGTGGATATCCCGGTAAAGTAGCAGAGCGTAGTTCAGTAGTTCTTCCTTCTGTTGCTCTTCACCATGCCACTTAGATAGTAGAAAACCACCATCTTTCGCTCCGTATTCGATCGGCGAGAAGTTCCACTCAAACAGCTTCTTTCTGCTCTGTGGAACAGACTCCCAAGAGGATGCTTCCTCGATCACTACAATCTTAACCTGTTCAAGTCTAGAGCCATCCGTTTTCTTCCTCTCCTATTCGTATAAACTAGCCCTTAACGTAACCCTGAGTAGACCTCGGACCTTGGACAGGGTTTAAAACAGGCTGTAAAAAGAATAAATTCTAGCAGTAAAGCAAATTTTATTAGGTTGGTGCAAAAATAATGACGTAATAACGTCGTTTTTGACGTTAAAAATACGTCAGAAAACGACATTATTACGTCATTATTTTTGCACCAACCTAATAGTATTGGATTGTAACGTACTGCTATAAGCTAGGAAAATTTATATCAGGCGTAGCGAGTCGCTGAACAGTCAAACGGGTGTCTTCCCTGTGCCGTCGTTCTGCCAAGCCTGCTGTGTCTCTCAGTGTGTCTTTCCAGGGTACTGGTTAGTTTTATTATAGCTGTTACGGTTCCTGGTTTTGATGTCTAATTCTAGCTGTAAACCAGATTGTATTCTTGGGTTGTACCTAATGCTATAAGCGAGCAAAATTGATATCAGGCGTAGGCGAATCGGTAAACAGTCTAACGGGTGTCTTCCTTGTGCCGTCGTTCTACCAGGCCCGCTTTGTCTCTCTGTGTCTTTTCGGGGTGCTGGTTAGTTTTATTATAGCTAGCACGGTTCTTTGTCCTGTCGTCTTGTCTTCGTCTAAAAAGCAATTTATCTTCATTCAACGACTTGACTTCTCTTTGTCTACGCCCCTCGATAAAGCCCATTTCACGATATACTGATATTGCTACACTCGACACGAGGGTTTATTTGGCACGGCACTATTTTTTCTCGTGGAACAATTGAATAATTCCAACAGGTATTACTACTCCAGGCGGTATTTATATTTGGTACAAAAGTGTCCAAAGACTTAAACGTGATTTCAAATGTCGGAGCGGTACAGAGGCAGACCCGAACATAGTAAGGAATGACAATGTGTGTGAAATAAATTTACCCAGCGGTGGATAAATAGCAGGACAGACTTGGCCGTGTAGCCTCGGTTGGCAACCAGTCTAGGAGAAGAAAAACCCTGACTTCAAACCACCTGCTGCTTTGTAGGTCTGCCTCTTTAACTTCTGAGAGGAGGGACGGAGTACCTTCAACATCCCCGGTACACAAGGAACTTGTAAGCCATTGCACTATTGATTTGAATGTCACCGTGAACTATACATAAAATAACATGGAAATACGTATATATATATATACCGGTTTTACGTTCCTCAATTATGAGCCGGGGGTGGGGGGAGTGATGACCACTGCGTCGGCGCTAAATGCGCTAACTGCATAAATGTTGATGGTGATGATGATGATGTGAAAGAAAGAAAGAAAGAAAGAAAGAAAGAAAGAAAGAAAGAAAGAAAGAAAAGGAAAGAAAAAGAGGGAAAGAAATATCAATGATAATGCTAAAAACTAGAAATAAAAATAATATAAAATAAAGAAAATATCGTGAAAGAAAACAGAACGAATGAATGATAGGAATAAGAGTAATTATAAAAGAAAGAAAGAAAGAAAGAAAGAAAGAAAGAAAGAAAGAAAGAAAGAGAGAAAGGAAGGGAGGAAGAAAGAAAGAAAGGAAGGAAGGAACAAACAAAGAAAGAAAGGAAGTAAGGAAGAAAGGAAGGAGGGAAGGAGGTGGGAAGGAAGAAAGGAAAGAAAGTGTTTGAATTTTAATATTAAAAGCCAAAATGAAATAAGAAATAGAAAGAAAGAAAGAAAGAAAGAAAGAAAGAAAGAAAGAAAGAAAGAAAGAAAAAAGAAAGAAGAGGAAATCGAACTAAAGAAGAGGACGAAGAAAATAGATGATAAAAAGGGAAAGGAAACTTTAGAAAGAAAGAAAGAAAGAAAGAAAGAAAGAAAGAAAGAAAGAAAGAAAGAAGAGGAAATCGAACTAAAGAAGAGGACGAAGAAAATAGATGATAAAAAGGGAAAGGAAACTTTAGAAAGAAAGAAAGAAAGAAAGAAAGAAAGAAAGAAAGAAAGAAAGAAAGAACTCAATCAATCAATCAATAAAGAAAGAAAGAAATCAATAAAGGAAGGAAGGAAGGAACAAACAAAGAAAGAAAGGAAGGAAGGAAGGAAGGAAGGAAGGAAGGAAGGAAGGAAGGAAGGAAGGAGGTGGAAAGAAAGAAGAACTCAATAAAAAAGAAAGAAAAAAGAAATCAATAACGAAAGAAAAAGAAAGAAAAAAAGAGAATGAAAGAAAAAGAAAAAATAAATAAAAAAAACAATAAATAATTAAAATAAAAGTATAATTAATTCTAAAAATAAAAGATACGAAAAGTGTTTGAATTTTAATATTGAAAACCAAAAAATGAAAACATTTATATTACCAAAATACCATATAAACGCAAATCTTTCTCAGATTCCCGAAGGTTCATGACTACAGTTTCGTATCCCAAAGTAAACAAAGGAACTTAAAAATAATAAAAATCTGTCGAATAAAAAATAGATAAAAACATCTACTTCTATAGAAATTGCTTTGTTTACATTCTGATACGAATCTGTACAAATATAAACTTTCGAAAACCAGAGAAAGTATTGCTTTTATGAGGCATTTTTCGTCCTTGCTTGATCAGCGACACACTCCATAGCTGAGGTAGTCTAGAGCACTTCAAATCTAACGGCACTTTATCATTGCAAAACATATATTTATCTTTGAAAATAGTTCCTTCCTTGTTATTGCACTTAATTCAGTGATAAATATTTGGTTGAGTAATAAGCAATCTAAGAAAGAAAGAAAGAAAGAAAGAAAGAAAGAAAGAAAGAAAGAAGAGAGATTCAGCAAAAAAGAAAGAATGGAACAGAAGGAATCAGTAAAAAAAGAATAAGAAAGAAAGAAACAAACAAACAAAAAGAAAGAATGAAAGAAAGAAAGAAAGGATTGAAAGAAAAGAAAAAAAAGAAAAGAAAAGAAAAAAAAGAAAGAAAGAAGGAATCAAAAAACAAAAAAAAAAGGTAAGAATTACATACACGGCAAAAACTACATAAAATAACATGGAAATACGTATATATATATATACCGGTTTTACGTTCCTCAATTAACAGGTCAAGAGAAGAATTACGTACCTGAAATAGAGAAAAAGAAATGTCAAATTTAATCGCTAAAACATAACAGCATCTTATATATCTTGTGTACAAGTCGAATTAAAACGTCCGCTCTAATTAAATAGATTTAAATTAATGAGGCGCATATTTTATAGCCTTTGAAATACATTTCTCTCAGCACTAACTAAAGATTCCCCACCAAAATTCCTATAAAATTTATAGGAATCTATGGGGAAATCGTTAGTAGGAGGCTACTGCTGAACCATTCTTTATTTATAAAAACTCAGAATCGTTCAGTCAGAGTTACATAAGGGCTAAAAGAGAATCCTTAATTTACAGGACGTCTTATCTGAGAAGTCATTAATTTACGATACGTATTTTTTGATAAATCGTTAATTTTCATATCATTTAACTCTGAAATAATTAATTTACGACACGTTATAAGTAAGAAGTCATTAATTTACGATGAGAATTCACTGATAAATCATTAATCTTACTTATTATAAAACGCAGATTGTGTGTGTGTGCGTGTGTCTGTACGTTTATATATTGGATCGGATTTCCTACATTTTTCAACCGATTTTAACAAAACTTCACAGGACTACGTAAAATTACCTTGCAGTGGTTCTGACAGCGCCAAAAATTGGAAAAACACAATTGTTTTTGCACGAAATCAATTTGAAAACACGATTCTGTCGCCAGAATGAAAGGGGGACAATTCATATCGAGTTATACTTATTATAAAACCCAGGTTGTGTGTGTGTGTGTGTTCGTTTATATATGGGATCGGATTTCCTACATTTTTCAACCGATTTCAACAAAACTTCACTTTTTTTTGGCAGGTAGTGTTTCTTATTGTCTTGCACACTTTTTTCTTTATTTTTACATTCAGAATGCTTTAAAAATTTCATTTACAAGACAAGTGTTTATCATAAAATTATATTCAATCGGTAGACTCATAACAATTGAAAACAATGTTTTTGTTTGAGTTTGGGTTTGACCAATTCGTAAAAAAAACAAAAACAAAACTAATTAAGACATGCGTGTCCGTCAACCTTAAACAATAATCTTTGTCAATTTTATTTTTCAGTCTTTATGGTGGTCGATACTTGATCTATCTCTTAATGTTACATCCCCAGGCAATGCCGGGCTCTACTGCTAGTTTACAGTAACACTTAAATCATTAATTTACGGCACGTTATAATTAAGAAATCATTAATTTACGATGAGAATTCACTGATAAATCATTAATTTACAATAACACTTAAATCAGATATCATTAATTTACGACACTTAAATCATTAATTTACGACACGTTATAATTAAGAAATCATTAAACATAACACTTGGACAAGATATATGCGTCCCGTACTCGATTGAGTCACTGAGTGATACACGCGTCCCCAACTCGGGTGTGTCACTCAATGGTAAAAGCGTCCCGTACTCGTGTGAGGCACTCAATGATACAAGCGTCCTGTACCCGAGTGTGTCAAAATGATACACACGTCCTGTACTCGAGCGAGTCATTCAATGATACAAGCGTCCCGTACTCCAGCGAGTCACTCAATGATACACGCGTACTGTACTCGAGTGAAGCACTCAATGATACACGCCTCCTGTACTCATGTGAGTCACTCAATGATACATGCGTCCTGTACTCGGGAGAGTTACTCCGTCATACATAATCCGCCATTTACAGGTCCCATCCACTAAACAGTAAAGGCGGTTTTACACTGACGCCATATAAACATCTCTAAATACATCCCCTATGATTATTATGATTTTAAATAATATAACAAATTGAAGCTTTTATTATAACAACCAAAGATTTTCCGACAATACACCATGTTCAGGGTGCGATGGATGAATTGTCATCTAAATTACGCAAAAATGAAAATAACACTTACATCTCATTTTAACATATACATTTGCCAATATTCACAAAAATATCTTGAGATACTAAAGAGTAAATTTATTCAATAAAATCGCCATTAGCTTCAACCACGGTCACCAGAGGACTTCGGAATCTCCTGCAACTCTACTGGACGGTCTCCTTATTTAAGTTGGTGAATGCTGCCGTAATCCTTGCCTTCAGTTCATCTTTGGTGTTACAAGGAGTTTTGTTTGTCTGTCGCTCAACTGCACCCCACAGATAATAATCAAAAGAATTGCAGTCTGGGGAGGTAGGTGGCCAGATGTAAGGGGTGATGTTTCTGACTGCCATGATTGGGTTCTCCTGCTTGTGTGGAATGGTGCAAAGTCATATTGCCAAATATAGGATCTTCCAGCAGCCACCCTTTTGACCCAGGGCAGCACTACCTCCTCAAGGTACTTGATGTAGGGCATTGTTTTGAATCCGAGGCCCTGTGA